TAACGTGGCGGAAGAGCAATATGGATTCCGTTCGGGTCGCAGCACTATAGATATGGCTCGTTAGTTGCAAGAGAAGTGCAGAGAACGACACCAGCCGTTGTATTCGCTTTTTGTTGATTTCGCCAAGGCATTTGCTACGGTGAACCGCGAGGCATTGTGGCTGATGTTGGGTAAGTTTGGTTGCTCGCGTAAGTTTGTAAGTTTGATTGATTGTCTGCACGGTGTTATGCGGGAGTCGTTTGCAAGCTGCTGGTGTTCATCATACTTCACAGACTATCCCCAACATGCGAATCGTCGCAACGAGAAGAACAAGCTGGGTTTCGCCCTGGTCGCGGCTGCATCGATCAAATCTTCACACTTCGCCAAATCCTCGAGCTCCGCCATGTGTATCAGAGGCCAACGATTGCTGTGTTCCTGGATATCCGTGCAGCCTTCGATTCTGTAGATCGTACAGTACTGTGGCACTGTCTACTGAGGAATGGTGTCCCCGGGAAGTTCGTCTCCATACTGCGCGCTCTATATAATCTGACCTCGGGCAGGGTTAGGGCTTACGGCATGCTTTCGCCTACCTTTCTGGTCTCCAGTGGAGTTCGACACGGATGCCCTATCTCTCCGTTCCTATTCAACTTTGCCATTGAGGATGTCTTGAAGAACGCTCTAGGCGATTCGTTGAACGCTGGCGTTGAGCTCCTCCCGGGTAGTCGAGTTGTTGATTTGGATTATGCTGATGATATCGTCTTGCTGGGCGACGATCCACAGGTCGTCCAACTTACATTAAACCGCTTGGCGATTGAAGCATCAAACCACGGTATGTACTTTTCGCCATCCAAATGCAAGGCTCTCTTCCAAGACTGGCAGGTGCCTCTGCCTGCACTCACTTGCTGGTGAGACACTAGAGGTTGTGGAGAGCTTTGTCTACTTGGGAAGTTGCATCACTGCTGGCGGATCTGTTGGAGACGAGATTACGATACGCATCTCGAGAGCAGGCCTCGTTTCTTCTAGGCTGAGACATTTGTGGCGTCGCCACGACATTCGTCTCTCCATCAAAGGGCGGGTCTATTGTGCAGCTGTTCATGCTGTACTGTTGTACGGATGCGAGACTTGGCCCATTCGTAAAGATGACTTGCGCAGGCTATCCGTCTTCGAGCACCGCTGTCTGCGGTCCATTGCCCGTGTGTGGTGGCAGCACCACGTAAGCAATGTGGAAGTTAGACAGCGTGTCTTGGGACGTGGAAGCCACTCGCTCGAGGAGCTCATCTCATTGCATCAACTGCGGTGGCTTGGACACGTATTGCGCATGCCTGTCCAGCGTTACCCCTGTCGTGCGTTGTTTGCACTTGCTGGACAGGGCTGGAAGAGACGGTCTGGTGGACAGCCTACAACATGGAGAAGCCGCATGAAAAAGCTGACGAAACAGTTGGCCTCGACCGGTTGTTGTCGACTACCTGGTTGGGGTCCGAGAGATGCGGATACTTGCTGGCTGAAGACCTTGAAAACCATGGCTCAAGATCGATGTCAATGGCGGACGTGTGCATCGGTTTGTTGCGGTGTCCCTTCTTCCTTCCCCTAAAAAAGAACCAACTAAAAATTGTTTTCAAAAACTTTGAGTCGTAAATTAGACAAAAAAGCAGTTCTTGTTGCTCTTTTCTTATTATTCATATTGTTTTCCTGTTCAGCCATGACTCCGATGGCACAATATCTGTACCACAGATTGTGTATTAATATATATATATATATATATTTGCGGGCGAGGGTGCAACTGAGTGGAGATACCTCGGATGACTTTGCATTTGTCACTGGTGTGAAGCAAGGCTGTGCCCTAGCTCCTGCCCTGTTTAATACATATCTTCATGCAATGTTGTCCTGTGATTTTGATGCCGCTTGTGCTTACGGTGTTCGTGTGGAGCACCGTATTGATGGTGGGTTGCTGAACATCCGTCGTTTCGGTGCGAGAACTCTAGTCTGTGAGACAACTATCCGTATGTTGCTGTTTACTGATGACTGTGCATTGTTTGCACACAGCGCGGATGAGTTGCAGCATATGACTAGTGCTCTGGCTTCGACAGCGGCCAAATTCGGGCTCACCATCAAGACAAGCAAAACTGTCTGTCTCTTTCAGCCTTCACCGGAGGCGCATCTTCAATATTGCCGCAAATCAGCATTGGTGCTGAGGTATTGGAAACCAAGTCTCGCTTCTGCTACCTTGGGACGCTAGAGTACCGAGTGTGGAACAACCATTAGCTTACCATTAGCACGAAGCTGATGGTGTACAATTCCATGGTGCTGTCCGTTCTCCTATATGGCAGCGAAACGCGGACGATGTCTAAGCGAGATGTACGATATCTCAAGTGGTTTCGTCAAGTTTTTGCGACGGTTTCTGCGCATCAATTGGTGCGACAGAGTTGCAGACACGGATGGGTTGCGCCGAAGTGGAATGTATGCAATGGACTGCATACTTTTGCTGAGACACGGATACCGAAACAGCTATTGTTTGGTCAACTATTTGGAAGCGCCATGTGAGATAACCGTAGTTACGTTACCAGGACATGATCAAAGTGAGTCACTCACGTTCTCATCTTGATTACAGGTAATGGGAATCAAAGGCAGTGGATCGGCGTGCATGGTACGATCTGGTCATGAAGGCAGTTACCGAGGTTCAACAGAAAGATCTCATACATGCGGCGAAGAAGCGGCACTTGCGGATGCGGCAGGCGCTGATGGGTTGTACTCCGACAGCGAGCGCTTGGTGCTGTAGCACATGTGGTCGTGAGTGCCTGAGTCAGGCAGGCCTAGTGAGCCATGAGCGAGGCCACTCTGGGCCATCACCGAATCGACGACAGGTCCTGCAGAGAACGTAGGCAGAACCGGCGCAGCGTTTGTAGGTACGCTGCATTCGATTTACTAACCGCGTGCTGAGTCTCTTTATTTCAGGTCGTGGGTTTGCTATATTGTCTCGTTATTGTCTACGTGAACTATCTTCTATTAACTTGCACACATCGCTCAAGTTAATTGTAATTAACTTTGATAACATTTTGCGTTTGTGACATTCTCTTAAAATATATTCTCTGACATCTTTAACCTATAGCGAATTTTTTGACAACCCATCTATTTCATGCGCTCACTTATTTAAAAACCATGTCGGTATATCTGTATGTATTATTCGCTTTATTTTATTTGATATCGTCGTGATTAACAATTGCTTGCTATCCTCGGTGCGGCCGCGCTCGATGTTCATTTTGACAAGGTGCCTACCCATCTATTACCCCCTACCTGGTCTATACTGGCTCCTTACTTGGGGGGACGGGATGCACCGTCCTTGTGGCCGTGCTAGGCTCGTAGAGTGGTTCCATGCACTCATTGTAGAGCGGGCTACGGTCCAGCCACCGTCTTGTTTGCGATTGATTTCCAAATACAGCGTACTTGTGTTTACCTGTGAAGTAGTGTGGGCCAGCCCCGTTGATGGAACATGGCTCCCATCCACATGTCTCCCGGTCTTATTCCTTCGGGTTTACACTGATTAAGGAATGTGTGGTTGGATCTGTGGATGGTACAGCGCAATCCACCCATGGTCCCTCTGTAGGCGCAGGCGTCCAGTGGCTGGCCACAGTGACAGGCAAATCCGAAACCGGATGCCGCCAACCATGTTTGTATAAGTAGCCGTGTTGAGTGGATTTGTGCCTCATGCTTAGGTTGATGTTGCATTCATGATGTTTCTAGGTATCTTTAGTCTGTATAAAAGTCATTGCACTTTATTTGCCTTGTTCAGTTATACTTTTCTGTTTCATAAACTGCGTCAATTTTACGTCTTTTCTTGCCCTTAAATTCTGTTGGTGGTATGATATTCCCGGTGTGGCTGCCTACCTGTCTAACACTCTCCTCCCCGATTGTTGGATCCAGGAGACTGAATCGTTGCCTGGGGGGACGGGGTGCACGATCCTCGTGGGCGTGCTAGGCGTGGTTCCATCCAGTTTGGAGCGGATTACAAAGCAGCCACCGTCTTGTCTGTATCTGGTACGCATGATTCCCTACATAGGTACATAGGAATGCTGCTGTTGTGCATGTTGGTGTGTGTGTGTGTGTCGGTTCTGTTGATGAAATGGCGCTCCCATCCACATGCCTGCCGGTCTTTTCCTTCGGGTTTACATCGGATATGGGGTGCGTAGATGAGGCCGTGGGTAATGCACTGCAAGCCACATAAGGTCCATCTTTAGGCCCTGGCGTCCTGTGGCTCTCTCTGTGGAGGCCACAGTGGCGAATCCGGAACCGGATGCCGCCAACCATGAGTGGATTTGTTAATGTGATTCTGTTTGTGATTTTGTCCGATTGGTTCGCCAACGTAGGAAAAGATCATAGGAACTCTTTAAAGTAAATGACGTTCGTGATGTGATTCAGATCATCCGGAATGGGAAACAGCAGTGGCTTTATTAAGTGGCGAGTCACATTCGCCAAGTCACAATGTCGTTAAACAGACATTTGGGACTTTTATAAGTAATACGCTTGCCCATTCGATTTTGCATATGGTAAGTTGTCCTCACAACTAGTTCTTGCTTCTTCACGCCCTACCGTGTTCCTATTACTGTAGATTAGACAGATGTTGGCTGCTGTTTTCAACCTCTTTCTAACCTTCGATCCTTTTTCACTGTCCATGTTTGCCCGAAGGACAAGCGCATCTGACCCTGCACTGTCCGCTCACTTACGAGACATAGGCCCGATACGCCATATAGATTTGTCTTTTTCTTATTCCGATCGGCTGGTCAATCTATTCATCATTTGATTTCACAGCTCCTCGTGTAGGAAACGAGAAAGTTGGTTTTCACTGGGGACACGGTTGGGACTGTGTCGTCATCAGGTGAATTGTCACATCAGCTGTCATCATATCTTCGCCTACGAAATGATAACTGATTATAATTTCCGTGCGCCATGCTATATCTACTTGCCTATTTCTCTTATTTGTGTCCGGTGTTGTTAGTCACGAGTAACGTCTCCGTGAACTCCTTCAGGTTCGCTCCGTGATTCTGGACACTACTGCCATGGGACGTCGTCATCGGGACAACTCGATCACCGGCAGCACGTTGAAACGGCGCTCTAATAGCGCACTTCAACAGTATTTCTTCGGACCTGATGGTGATCAAAAGCTGACAATCCAAAAATTTCTTCAGTTTCACGCCGAATTACAGAATGAAATTACTCGTTTAGAGGTGAGTCACATGGTAACTGCATTTGCGATTCTTTACTTGATGGTCAATAACAAATCGCCGTCACTTTTCGTGTGGTTCCAAATTTTGATAGGTTTAATTTAACCTCCTTTGTGTTGTAAACTTAATTTTCTGATGTGCGATTTTCGAGCTTTTTCCAGTCGAAGCACTATCGACAGCTACTTGACGTCCGTCGTTTATCACGCATATAATCTTCAACTTTGTGCTCGGAATAAATCACTCATTTTCCGCTTCTTGGTTGGTTTTCTCTTTTCAAACCATAGTTCCATTCAACCTCATGTCACCAGCCTTACGAATGCCTATTTTGATTACTTAGTCCTTTTCTCCCCTTTCGTGAAACTTCATCATTACACGCTCGCTGAAAATGTGAAACGCACTGCAGCTATTGTGTTGCAATACAGTAAGATACATGAAAGAGCGAGATACTAAACGTTACAGAATACAATGACTAAAAAGCAAGCACTCTAATGCTAAGTATGGTATGGAGTATTAGATCGTTGTTGGAGGTTGAGGCTAAGTGAGTGGTGAGGAATACAGAAAGTCACAACATAAGCGCCACTGAAGTCGGCTCTTCGCCATGTCAACAAGTGTATCCAAACAAACATGTTCATCGTCTTTCGGGCCCCAAACAGGAAGTCGAGAGGCACGAATAGAAGCCCACTTCCAAGTGAGCATCTTCATTCTTCTTGTACAAGTCATCGCTTGTCCACCTCTTCTCTTATTCCATCCACACCCCTGACGTGCAAACACACGTCGCGGGAGCCGCTGGGATGATCTAACCATCAGAGTTTGGTGCATGATGTAACGGTGCTGAGCGTTTCATCCTGAACATACTCATTGCTCAGTCGGTGTTCCCACCAAACATTAGCATAAGTACGAAAGCAGCAATTGTCGAACATAGCATGCCTCTTTATGTCTGTCCATCTGGTGGGCCAGGTTTCACAATCGTACAGAAGGGTTGAACGCACGGCTGCATTGTAAACGCTGTCTTTCACAGTGAGAATGATGTCGCACCGACACCACAGATGGCGAAGATTAGCAACAACTCCTCAAGTTTCTGCCCTACGGTTCGTTGCTTTAATTATTATTTCATTTGCCCTAAAATAGTGGCCTAGATATTTGAATTTCTCGACGACTTCTAGTTGATCACCAATCTTCTGTAGCGATGACTCGGTAAAAGACGACTTCTATCGCCAACTGAACGAACTCCTTCGCCACAGAAGAAGCTCGGACACTGTTGTGCTGGCTGGGGATCTGAACGCTCAAGTTGGAAAATTATCCACAGATGAGCTGCATCCGGGCGGCCAACATGGTGTAGGCTCCCGTAATGATAACGGTGAGCGGTTACTTCATTTGTGTGAAGATACTCGCTTGTTGCTTGCCAGCACCAATTTCCGACGCAGCACCAGCCGTAGGGTGACCTGGCGCCCACCAACCTCGAATTAGCTATGATGGAAACGATCACATTGCGATAAGTTACCGATGGAGAGGCTGCATCCAGAACTGTGGACACCGACCATGCACTTGTATGTGCTGACCTGCAGATGCCTTTTGGCGGACGCCCACGACGACGCTGTGAGCGCATTGACACCAGCCAACTGGCAAAGCCAGCTGTTCTGAATGCGTATCGAAGTACGCTGTCATGCGAGTTAAGTAAGCGCTCACTAGATGCAATCGAAACTCACCGGTCTTACATTCACCAGACCTTACTAGCAGCAGGAAAATCCTCATGTGGTAAGTCTACTAACCAACATGGACATTGGGTCTCTTCGCAATCTCTGGAGCTTATCGATGTTCATCGGCATTTTCCGGCTGGAAGCGAACACATTGAAACTCGCAAAGAGATCCCGGGCAAAACTCCGTGTTAGTCTGAAGAGAGACCGCGAATCCTGGTGGTCTCATCGTGCATCAGAGATGGAAATGGCCGCTGCCCTTGGTAACCATCGTAAGTTATTCCGTCTGATACGGGAAACGGGCAGCAGGAGACCTGGTAATAGTGAAACTATACGTGACGAGAGTGGACAGCCCATCCACAACTTATCAAAACGCTTAGAGCGTTGGGGTGAGCACTTTGAAAGGCAATTTAATCGGTCGGAATGGTTAGATTTCTCGCCGGCCAGTGATCGCCCCCGCTCCCTGGGCTGTCCCTTTGGATCCACCCTCTCGCTCAGAAGTCGAACGTGAGATCGAACTGTTGAAGTTAAATAAAGCCGCGGGACCAGATGATCTTCCTCCAGCCCTCTTCAAATTCGGAGGCTCTGCTCTTGTGGATGATTTACACGAGTTACTAGTGAAACCGTGGGAGCAGGAAACTGTCCCGACCGATTGGAGCCGCTCCTTCATGGTCCCAATTTTCAAGGGAGGCTCACGATCGGAATGCGGCAGCCATAGAGGAATCAGTCTGATTTCGATTGCCTCTAAATTGCTTGTCTCTGTCATCCTTCACAGACTGACTGGCACTCGTGAAAGCCAGATTCGCGAAGAGCAAGCTGGATTTCGTCGAGCTCGTGGCTGTATTGACCACATCTTCACCTTGCGTCAGTTGTTGGAGTACCATCACATATATTGGCGGCCCACCGTTGTCGTGTTCCTCGATATCAAAGGTGCATTCGATTCGGTGGATAGACATGCACTTTGGGACTCTATTCAGGAAAGGTGTATCTGAGAAATATGTGAATATTATCCGAGCATTATACGCTCGTAGCGCGGGCAGAGTGAGGGCTTACGGCAAGTTGTCGTCGCCCTTTAATATCTCCAGCGGCGTGAGACAAGGATGCCTGCTGTCAACTTTCCTCTTCAACTTCGCTGTTGACGAAGTCATGGAAATCGCGTTCACAAGACACGACTTAGAATGTGTGGAGCTACTCCCAGGAGAACGACATCTTGACTTAGAGTATGCTGATGATATTGCCCTGATCTGTGACAGCTCACAAACGTGCCAAGCGGCACTGGACAGATTAGCACTAGCTGTCCGTTACTTCTGGCTTTGCTTCGCACTCTCGAAGTGCAAAGCGTTTCTCCAAAATTGGTCTGGACCGCCTCCTACACTGACCCTTGGTGGGGATCAGCTAGAAGTCGTTCAAAAATTCAACTGCCTGAGAAGTTGTATCAGCGCCCGTGGGATTGAAGATGAGATCACGAACCGTATAGCAAAAGCTCGGGGCGCTTTTGCTAACCTTCGCCACTTATGGCGTCGGCGCGACATCACTCTCACCCTGAAGGGTAGAGTGTACAATGCAGCAGTACGTTCGACCCCACTGTACGGTTGTGAAACCTGGCCGCTTAAAGCAGCGGACCTGAAGAGGCTAGTTACGTTCGACCGCCGGTGCCTTCGTAATTTAGCTCACATTTGGTGGGAACACCGCGTGAGCAACGCGCGTGTTCGACGCCTTGTTTATGGCACAGGAAAAGGGAATGAACCGCTCAGCACCGTTATTTCACGCATCAGGCTCCGATGGCTCGGCCACGTGTTACGCATGTCAGCCCACCGACTTCCGCGACGTGTGTTGTTTGCGCGCCGGGGTGTGGATGGAAGAAGAGGAGGGGTGGCCAAGCGATGGCTTGGTCCAGAGGAATGAAGGCCCTCACTTCTGAGCTGGCCTCGGTTGGAGCGTCTCGGCTCCCTGGTTAAGGTCCGAAAGATGATGAACACGTTTGCTTGGACACACTTGCTGATATGGCTAGGAGCCGACCTCAGTTGCGTTCGTGCTGTGAGTTTCTTTGTCCCACCCCATCCCTCTTAGCCTCCCCCTCCAACCACGTTCTCATTACTTAGCCTTATATAATTTTGCAAAATAATTTTTTTTGGTGCACAGCAGCCGGCTGGTGGCTTACCGGAACGATGCCCATCCGTTACCGGTAGCTCAGCCAGCTTGAACCAGTTGCTTTTTTTCTCCTTTTTTCTATGTATTGCGGCACAGTAGCTGAGGTGTTTCCCACCTCTAGCTAACGTGTATGATGATGATGATCACCAATCTTGGAGAAAGACTACATTTCGAAGATGCAAAACATTGCACAAAATAATTAGCAGTCAGCGCTGATCTGTTCAGTGCAGCTTGGCTCGTTTGGAAGCTGTTAGAGATGGGGACAGCGTCGTTGGCATACTCCAAGAACTCGATCACCTGGGAGCAGCTCCGCAACTAAGTCATATCCAATAAACACAGTTTCCTATACTTCGTCGATAGCGAATTTGGAACGGGAAGATGGCAGTAGGCAATCTTGTCTCACACCGTTAGAGATATTGATGGGCAGTGAAAACCTGTCATAAGCTCTCACTACCTGAACTATGCTCGTAGAGCAATCTTATGACCCTTACTTATTACTTGGCACATCTTTCCTTGTCAGTGAGTCCTAAATGGCACATTCACACACCGGATCGAATACACCTCTGATGTCGAAGAACACGACCACGTTAGGTCGCCAATAAATATAGTATCTTTCCGACAGCTGACGTACTGTACTCAATGCAGCCTCTATTTCGACTAGACCTGGCTTGTTCCTCGCGAATTTAGCTTCCACGTTTGCCATTCAGTCTATGGCGAACGACAGAGACAAGTAATTTATAAGTGATGGAGATCAGACTGATCCCTCTATGACTGCCACATTCCGAACGTTAACCTACTCTAGAAGTTAGGACTGTAACGGAGTGGCTCAAATCTGTTGGGAGATTTTCCTTCTCCCACAGCTTCTTTAGTATGTTGTCCTAATCATCCGCATGAGCAGGTCCCCCGCATCTGTAGAGCGCTGGCGGAAGTCTACATGCACTTGCTGCCTTATTCAGTTTCAACAGTCTAATCTCACGTTTGAGTTCTCCGTGTGAAGGCGTATCCAAAGGGACTACCTAAGTAGAGGGATGATTGTGAGCGATAAGGAGAATGGTAACTACCTGAGTGAACTGATTTGTAAAGTGTTCGGCCCAACGCTCCAAGCCTTTTGACAAGCTGTGGATTGGCTGTCGACTCTCGTGGTATGTGGTCTCGCTT